TGATGGGAATAACGGGAATAATGGGAATGGTGGGATTGGGAACTGCTGGGAGAGCTGGAACGGACACGGAGCGAGAAAAAGGTGATGGGAATAACGGGAATGATAACGGGAATGATGGGAATGATAACGGGAATGGTGGGATTGGGAAATGCTGGGAGAGCTGGAACGGACACGGAGCGAGAAAGAGGTGATGGGAATAACGGGAATGATAACGGGAATGACGGGAATGATAACGGGAATGACGGGAATGGTGGGATTGGGAACTGCTGGGAGAGCTGGAACGGACACGGAGCGAGAAAGAGGTGATGGGAATGATAACGGGAATAGCGGGAATAACGAGAATGATAACGGGAATGACGGGAATGGTGGGATTGGGAAATGCTGGGAGAGCTGGAACGGACACGGAGCGGGAAAGAGGTGATGGGAATAACGGGAATGATAATGGGAATGACGGGAATGATAATGGGAATGGTGGGATTGGGAGCTGCTGGGAGAGCTGGAAAGGGCATGGAGCAGAAAAGGAGTGATGGGAATGGTAATGGGACTAACGGGAATGGTGGGAATGGTGGGAATGATGGGACAGCTGGACAAGGCCCGGAGTGGGAAGGAGGTGGGAGTAATGGGAATAACAGAATGATGGGAATGGTGGGAATGATGGGATTGGGAATGGGAGCTTCTGGGAGATCTGGAATGGACCCAGAGAGGGAAGAGATGGGAATGATGGGATTGGGATTGGGATTGGGATAGCAGGACAGGATCCCGAGGGGGAAGGAGATGGGAATGATGGGAATAACGGGCATGGTGGGAATAATGGGAATGATGGGAATAATGGGAATGGGAATGGGAACGGGAGATTGGGAGAGCAGGACAGGATCCCGGAGCAGGAAGGAGATGGGAATGATGGGAGTGATGGGATTGGGAATGGTGGGAATGATGGGGATGGTGGGGTTTGGAATGATGGGAATAATGGGAACGGGAATGGGAGCTGCTGGGAGAGCTGGGCAGAGCGCAGAGCAGGAAGGAGGTGGGAATGATGGGAATAGTGGGAATGGGAATGGGAATGGGAATGGGATGGGCAGTGGGAATAGGATTGGGATGGTCTGGGAATGGAATGGACCGGGAATGGGGGATGCCATGGTGGGAATGGTGTGTCCTGGATCCTGGGAACGGCTCTGGGAACGCTGTGTCAGGGATTGGATATCCGGGAACAGGGAATGCTGTGTCAGGGAACAGGGATTGGATATCTGGGAACCGGGAATGCTGTGTCAGGGAACAGGGATTGGATATTCTGGGAACAGGGAATGCTGTGTCAGGGAACAGGGTTTGGATATTCTGGGAACAGGGAATGCTGTGTCAGGGAACAGGGATTGGATATTCTAGGAACAAGGAATGCTGTGTCAGGGAACAGGGAATGAGGTGTCAGGGATTGGATATCCTGGGAACAGGGAATGCTGAGTCAGGGAACAAGGAATGCTGTGTCAGGGATTGGATATCCTGGGAACAGGGAATGCTGAGTCAGGGATTGGATATTCTGGGAACAGGGAATGCTGAGTCAGGTATTGGATATTCTGGGAACAAGGAATGCTGTGTCAGGTATTGAATGTTCCAGGAATGGGGAAATGCCATCCTGGAGATCGGTGCATCCTGGAAATCTGGTGTCGTGGTTTTAAACCAGTAACTAAAAAAATTACATATTTCTTGTTGTGAGATATGGATTAGAGTAAGAGCAAAACAGGCTTAAAACTTAAAAGGAATAAAGACAGTTTATTAACAAACTACAAGAATAAGAACACCAGAATAAACTTTCAGAAAACCCCCTTATCTTTCACATCTTAACTATTTCTCTGTACACATGACAACATAGAGACAAATAACTTTAGGAATTTGGTGGTTAAAAACAGTCTTAATTCTTGCTACAGTCTTTTCATCAGTCTTTGTAGAGAATGCCGTGCCGGGAATCAGCAGCTCCCGGGGCTCTGGGAATGTCATCCCAGGACTCTGGGAATGCCGTGATTTGGATCGGGATGTCCCAGGACTCTGGGAATGCCATGCCGGGGGTCTGGGAATGCCCTGCTGGAACTCCTTGAATGTCATCCTGGGGTTCTGGGAATGCCATCCTGGGACTCTGGGAATGCCATCCCGGGACTCTGGGAATGCCATCCTGGGACTCTGGGAATGCCATCCCATGGCTGCGGGAATGTGTCGCGGTGGCTGCGGGAACGCGGTGTGTCTGATCCGGCGTCATTCCCGGCAGGAAGCGCTGCGCGTGGCGCGGCAGAAGGAGCAGGAGCTGGAGCTGCGGGGCGAGCGCTGCGGGCCGGAGGCGCGGGAGCTCTGGGAGCGCTGCAAGCCCTGCCTGAGGCAGCGCTGCCTCCGCCTGTACGCGCGAACCTGCCACAGCGGGGCCGGGATGCTGGGCCGCCAGGTCAGCCGGAAACAACCGGGAAACAACTGGGGAATAACCAGGGAACAACCTGGGAATTATGGGGGAACAACTGGGGAACAACCAGGGAACAACCGGGAAACAACCAGGGAACAACCGGGAAACAACCAGGGAATTATGGGGGAATAAGTGGGGAATTATGGGGGAATAACCAGGAAATAACCAGGGAACAACAGGGAAATAATCAGGGAAACAGCCGGGGAATAACTGGGGAACAACCAGGAAATAACCGGGGAATAACCAGGAAATAACTGGGAAAAAACCAGGAAAGAACTGGGGAACAACAGGGAAACAACCAGGAAATAACCGGGAAAGTACGGGGGAAATAACCGGGAAATAAGCAGGGAACAACCAGGGAACAAGCAGGAAACAACCGGGGAACAACCTGGGAATAACTGGGGAACAACCGGGGAGTAAGTGGGGAACAACTGGGAAATTATGGGGGAAATAACTGGGGAACAATCGGGGAACAACTGGGAAATAACCAGGGAACAACCGGGAAATTATGGGGGAAATAACTGGGAACTTACCGGGGAATAACCGGGAAAGAACTGGAAAACAACCAGGGAACAACCAGGGAACAACCAGGGAACAACCGGGAAACAACCGGGGAACAACCGGGGAATAACCAGGAAAAAACTGGGGAATAACCGGGAAACAACCTGGGAATAACCAGGGAATAACGGGGAATAACCGGGAAATAACCAGGGAACAACTGGGAAATTACGGGGGAAATAACCGGGAAATTATGGGGGAATTATGCGAAAAGAATGGGAAGAGAATGGGTAAATTATGGGAGAATAATGGGGAAATTAGGGAAAAATGGAGGAAATAATGGGGGAATCGAGAGGAAATAAAGGGGAAATTATGGGGAGAACAAGGGGAAAATGATGATAAAAAAGGGGGAAAAGAATGGGGAAATAACGGGAATAATGGGGAAGAAATGGGGAAAAGAAGGAGGAAACAATGGGAAAACAAAGGGGAAAACACTGGGAAACAACAGGGAAAAGAAGGGGGAAATGATGGAGAAAGGAATGGGGAAATAAGGGGGAAACAAGGGGGAAAAAATGGGAAATAATGGGAAAATAATGAGGAAATAACGGGAATAATGGGGAAAACACCGGGAAAAGTCTGTGGGGAAAAAAGGGGGAAAATGCTGGGGAAAACATCGGGAAAAGAATGGGAAAACAACGGGGAAACAAGGGAAAAACACCGGGAAAACCACCAGGAGAACAAGGGGAAAACACCAGGAAAACTCTGTGGAGAAAGGGGGAAATTGCTGGGAAAACACCGGGAAAACACCAGGAAAACAAGGGGAGAAAAAGGGGAAAACAGTGGGGGAAAACACCAGGAAAACACCAGGAAAACACCAGGAAAAGAATGGGAAACACCAGGGAAACAAGGGGAAAACACTGGGAAAACTCTGTGGGAAAACACTGGGAAAACTCTGTGGGGAAAAAGGGGGAAAATGCTGGGGAAAACACCGGGAAAACACCAGGAAAACAATGGGAAAACACAGGGAAAACCACCAGGAGAACAGTGAGAAAACAATGGGAAAACCCCGGGAAAACACCAGGAAAAAAGGGGAAAACTACAGGAAAACACCAGGAAAAAAGGGGGAAAACTGGGAAAACCCTGGGAAAACACCAGGAAAAAGATGGAAAACCCCAGGAAAACACGGGGAAAAAGGGGGAAAACTGGGAAAACCCTGGGAAAACAGCAGGAAAAAGGGGGAAAATCACAGGAAAACACTGGGATAAAGGGGGAAAACTGGGAAAACCCTGGGAAAACAGCAGGAAAAAGGGTAAAACCGCAGGAAAACACCAGGAAAAAAAGGGGAAAACTGGGAAAACCCTGGGAAAACACCAGGAAAAAAGGAGAAAACCACAGGAAAACACCAGGAAAAAAGGAGAAAACCACAGGAAAACACCAGGAAAAAAGGGGGAAAATGCTGGGGACAACACTGGGAAAACACCAGGAAAACAATGGGAAAACACAGGGAAAACACTGGGAAAAAGGGGGAAAACTGGGAAAACCCTGGGAAAACAGCAGGAAAAAGGGGGAAACCACAGGAAAACACCAGGAAAAAAGGGGAAAAACGCAGGAAAACAGCACTGGGGGAAGCCAGGAAAGGCGGAATTTTCCGGGATGGCATTCCCGGCTGGATGGCTCCGGGAAGGGGCAGATTTTGATGCCGGTGCCGCTGCAGCTGGAGGAATTCCTGAACAATTCGTCTCCGGTGTCGGTGTGGTCGGAGGGCGAGCGGCTGGAATCGCTGCTGGAGCGGGATCAGCGCCAGGAGCGGCAGCTGGAGGAGCTGGAGGAGCGCTTCGGAATTCTGGAGGACGGAATGGACGAGATTTTCCGGGAGAGCTCCCAGGTCCAGGGGTGGCTCCATCCCTTTTTCCAGGCTCCCTTCGGAGGATTCCGGGAGGAGCCGGCGGAGCGCCGGCGCTTCCGCCGCTTTTCCGGGGAGCTCTTCCCGCTTTTCCGGCAGCCCCCGCACGGATTCCAGGAGCTCTTCCAGCCGCTCTTCCAGTTCAGCCAGCGCATGCTGGAAAACGCCCGCGGGAACTGGGACGATCCCTCGGGAATATTCGGGACAGGTAAAAGGGTGGGAAGCGGGATCGGGGCCGTAGGATCCCAAATTCCGGCGGGTTTAAGGATGAGATTCCTGAAAATCCCCAAACTCCGGCGAGTTTAGGGATGAGATTGCCGAAAATTCTTCAAACTCTAGTGGCTTTAGGGATGAGATTCCCAAAAAATCCCAAAATCTTGGTGGTTTTAGGGATGAGATTGCCGAAAATCCCCAAACTCCGGCGAGTTTAGGGATAAGATTGCCGAAAATTCTTCAAACTCTAGTGGCTTTAGGGATGAGATTCCCAGGAAATCCCAAAATGTCAGAGGGTTTAGGGATGAGATTCCCAAAAAGTCCCCACATGTTGGTGGATTTAGGGATGAGATTCCCAAAAAGTCCCCAAATTCCAGCAGTTTTAGGGATGAGATTCCTGCAAATCCCAAAATGTCAGGGGGTTTAGGGATGAGATTCCCAAAAAATCTTCACACTCCAGTGGGTTTAAGGATGAGATTCCCAAAAATCCCCAAATGTTGGTGGGTTTAGGGATGAGATTCCCAATAAATCCCCAAATTCCGGCAGTTTTAGGGATAAGATTCTTGAAAATCCCAAAATGTCAGGGGGTTTAGGGATGAGATTCCCAAAAAATCTTCACACTCCAGTGGGTTTAAGGATGAGATTCCCAAAAATCCCCAAATGTTGGTGGGTTTAGGGATGAGATTCCCGATAAATCCCCAAATTCCGGCAGTTTTAGGGATAAGATTCTTGAAAATTCCAAACTCTAGTGGCTTTAGGGATGAGATTCCCAGGAAATCCCAAAATGTCAGAGGGTTTAGGGATGAGATTCCCAAAAAGTCCCCAAATTCTGGCAGGTTTAGGGATGAGATTCCCAAAAATCTTCAAAGTCCAGTGGTTTTAGGGATTAGATTCCCAAAAATCCCTAAACGCCAGCGGGTTTAGGGATGAGATTCCCAAAAAATCCCCAAATTCCAGCAGTTTTAGGGATGAGATTCCCAAAAATCCTCAAATGCTGGTGGATTTAGGGATGAGATTCCCAAAAATCCCGAAGTGTTGGTGGTTTTAGGGATGAAATTCCCAAAAATCTCCAAATTCCAGCAGGTTTAGGGATGAGATTCCTGGGAAATCCTTGGGAATTCCAGGGATGAGCTCAGTCCTGATGGGACAGACCTGGGAATATCCGTGGAAAAAGCGGGAATGGCCGGATCCCGCCGTTTGCGGGCCGGGATTTTGGGATGTCGGCTCCACTCAGTCCTGGCAGCCGTCAGGGGAACGCGGAATTTCGGGAATCTTGGGGAGTTTGGGTTGTTTGGGAATTCTGCCGATGGGTTTTTTTGGGAATGTTGCAAGAATTTGGTTGTTTTGGGGAATATTCCCGTCTTTTTTAGTTTGAGAATGTTGCAGGAGTTTGTTTTTTTTGGGAATGCTGCAGGACTTTGGGTTTCTCGGGAATTCTGATTTTTTTGGGGGAATATTCCCGGCTTTTTTTAGTTTGGGAATATTGCAGGATTCTGGTTTTCCTGGGAATGCTGCTGGGGGTTTTTTGGGAATATCGCTGACGGTTTTTTGGGGGAAAATTCCCTTTTTTTTTTTCTTTGGGAATGCTGCGGGTGATTTTTTTGGGAATACTGCAGGTGCTTGGGTTTTTTTTTTCCTTGGGATTGCAGCCGATGTTTTTGTGGTTTCTCGGGATCGCATCCAATGTTCTTTCGGTGTTTTTTGTTTTTTTGGGATGGCATCCCGTGTTTCTGTCGTGTTTGTTATTTTTTTGGGGGGATTTGCAGCCGATGTTCTTTTCCTGTTTCCTGTGTTTTTTTGGGATCGCATCCCATGTTTTTACTGTCGGGGTTTTTTGGGATTTCATCCCATGTTTTTGTGGGGTTTTTTTGGGATTTCATCCCATGTTTTTGTGCTGTTTGGGGTTTTTCGGGATCACATCTGATGTTTGTGTGGTGTTTGGATTTTTTTGGGATTTCATCCCATGTTTTTGTGGTTTTTTCGGGATCACATCCCATGTTTTTGTGCTGTTTGGGTTTCTTTTGGAATCACATCCCATGTTTTTGTGCTGTTTGGGGTTTTTTGGGATTTCATCCCATGTTTTTGTGGTTTTTTTGGGATTTCATCCGATGTTTTTGTGGCTTTTCGGGATCACATCCCATGTTTTTGTGCTGTTTGGGGTTTTTTAGGATTGCATCCAAGGTTTCTGTCATGTTTGGGTTTTTTTGGGATTTCATCCGATGTTTCTGTGTTTTTTTGGGATCACATCCCATGTTTTCATGCTGTTTGGGGTTTTTCGGGATCACATCCCATGTTTTTTTTGGGAATGTTGCCGCCTGTGCCGTCACCGTCTGCCAACGCAGCCCCGGGGACGGGAGGGGCCCAAATTCCAAGGAAAATTCACTTTTCCGGCACCTGGGGGGAGCTCCCGGGCTTGGGGGGGGATTTGGGGAGCTGAGGCCATCCCGGAATTCCCGCAGAATCCCGGAATTTCAGCAACGACCGGATGGTTTGCCGGGAGATCCGTCGGAACTCGGCCGGGTGCCTGCGGATGCGGGATGAGTGCGAGGAGTGCCGGGAGATCCTGGCCCTCGGTGAGCCGGGAATGACGGGAATGACGGGAATAGCAGGAATGATGGGAATAATGGGAATGATGGGAATGATGGGAATGATGGGAATGGGAATGATGGGATTAACGGGAATGATGGGAATTATGGGAATGATGGGAATGATGGGAATAACGGAAATAACGGGAATGATGGGAATGATGGGAATGGGAATTATGGGAATAATGGGAATGGGAATTGGGAAAGGGGACAGGAAGGGGAATAATGGGAATGGGAATAATGGGAATAATGGGAATGGGAATAATGGGACTGGGAATAATGGGAATGGGAATGGAGGTGGGGATGGGAATAATGGGAATAATGGGAATAATGGGAATGGGGGTGGGGATGGGAACTGGGAAAGGGGACGGGAATGGGAATGGGAATGGGAGGAACAATCCAGGGTTTGGGGGCCATGGGATGGCTCTGGGTGGGGATTGAGGATTTGGGGTGCATCCATGGGCTCTGGGGGATGGGATGGGATAATGGGATAACGGGATGGAATAACGGGATGGGATGAACC